GAAAAAACTCCGCTCTGGTGACAGGAAAGGAATCCGGCCATTGAACACTCTTGCTGGCTCCATTCAGTTGTCCAAGACTCCACCCCGCAAGGGATTATGGGGTCCTTAAATGATGATGATGATGATGATGATGGTAAGGCCTTTACTTAAAACGTGACATTGGATGTCTTGGCACATTCGCAGAGGGAGAGCAAACAACCTGGTTTTTGTGAGTGTGCGTAGGAGGTGGTTGCGAATATCAAGGCCCGTTCGACTCACGAGCACTTAGGATACTATGAGCACTGCTCTGCAAAAACCACGCAATGGTTTCTTAACCAGAGTTACAACTGGCCAGCTCCCCGCCCTCGGCGGAAACTAACCAGGTTTTGACTACCAGGTGTGAAAAGGAGAGCTTAGGTTAACCAACAACAATTGCTACTCAAGATTTGTTAGCAAAATTCACCGGAGTGGATGAACCGGCTATTCAGAGGGTGGCCGTTTCCGATTCTTCGCTCACTACTCTCAGCCGAACTCCCATTCCTCCAGAGTTACTCTCTCATGAGATGGGAGGCTACACAAAGACGACGGATGAATAAATAATCTGCCCCTCTGATTTTAATATTCCAGCCTGCCACGGTCAAGAGTAAAATTAGAGGGAGGCAATCCCATTTTCCAGCAGCTGTTCCTGTACAACTGGGCAGTGAATTCGCCTACCAAGAAACCCGTTAATACTTCCAACAGGAAACGAATTACATTCGTGTTTAGACAGCTCCCTCCCCATTTTTGCGGGGGGTGGGGGGAGGAGGGAAAACTACAGCAGCTCGAGAAATTCAACCTCAGATTCTCAGTTAACTCCAGCAATTGGAGACATCCAAGTGATAAGGCAGATGGAGGAGGAGGGAGGGGGGGGGGAGAAATTGCGAATAAAATGCCCTCCATCTGTCTGCAATAGTCACATCAGCACGCGAAGTCCTGATCTGCAGCAGCAACAGACTGTTGTCTAAGAAAAGAAACACCGCCGTCGTAGCCAACTGGAACAACTGACACAAAGCGGAACCTGTCTAAAATCTACTGAGAGATATGAAATTGCCTGATCAGCCACGAGCCGAGGATCTTCTACTTCTACTTCTGCTCACCAAGCTCTCTTCCCTCGGGCCACCGTCTCCACAAAAACTTTAGAATATGGTTCAGGTGTGCCTGTATTTATGAAAAGACATTCCAAAATGCTAGTTGTCTGGGGGGGGGGGGAGGATGAAATTTGGGGGCTTTAGGACTAACCAACTTCTCCTAATAAGGAAGCTCATCTGACATGAAACAAGCAATTGAATCAGTTTTCCTATTTACCTACCAGATATTTCCCAGCAAATAAATAAATCTATATCTATGTATATCTATCTATCTATCTATCTATCTATCTATCTATCTATCTATCTATCTATCTATCTATCTATCT